AAGCAAATATAGTTCCCCCTTGTCAATGTTGTATATTGATAAAGATCTATTTGTATAAAACTGTAAAAATGCATCGTTATTTTAAAGAAAAAAAAAATGCTGAGATCGTTGAACAAGATTTCAATGTTTAAAAAAACTTTTCTTATAATCTATAGCAACATTATTTATAAACGGACATTTATTGTAAAATAAATAATATCAATATGTAATATCAGAGTGGTATGACATAATCAAGCACATATATATATATATATATATACACACATATACATAGGGTCTTCAAAAAATCTGGAAACGCTAAAATATCTCGAAAACGATCAACTCTAATGAAAGTATATAAAAGCAAAGTTGTAGGACTTCAAAAAATTTCCGTAACTGATGATAAAAGGTTGACATTGAGTGAAATCTGCAAAGTCATATGAAGGTTAAGTTAAATTTTTTTAAACAAGATCTTCCTCTTTTTATTATATAGTCTTATTTCAAGAGCTTTTCAAAACACTATAATAAAATATTTTTTCATTAAGTACTTTTCAAATTATAAGGCTTGAAAGTTACAATATTGCCGGCATTAGCATGTCCGATCGACAGTTAAAACTTCTTAAATATTGTTCAGAATCACGTCCTGGATAACATTTGTTAAGATCAAGACTTGGAGATTATTCTTCTTAATTTCATTTTTGCACTAAAAATTCATTTTTGTGTAAAAATGAAAATAAGAAATATAACCTCCATTGGCCTTGATTTTGACAAATGTTATTCAGAACATGATTCAGAACAGATTCTGAACGAGATTTTAGCCGTCGATCGGATACTTTGCGTACTGCTAATGCCGGCGTTACTGTAACTTTCAAGCTTATAACTTATAACTCGAAAAGTACTTCATGAAAAATTATTTTATTATAGTATTTTGGAAAGCTCTCGAGATGTGCTATAAGAATATGTAATGAAAAATAGGAGATTTCATTTAAAAAATTTAATTTGACCTTCATATGACCTTGCAGACTCCATTCAAGATCAATCTCTTATCATCAGTTAGGTAGATTTTTTGAAATCCTACAACTTTGCTTTTATATATTTTTCGCTAGAGTTGATTGTTT